CCTTGGCAGTCTCAGCCAGGATTTCCAGGATTCAAAACTTGAGCAATGTTCAACTTTTGAAGCTGGGGTGGAAGCGTCAGCTGGCAGAGCCAGACCGCAGTTCATTTTCTATATTTCTGAAAATGGAGGAGAAATTAGTTATTGCGGTAGCAAATCACCCGGTTCTTTATGACCAGTCGCTAATAACTTACCGGGATACAAACCGGAGGAACCAGGCATGGAGGGAGGTGGCAGAGACAGTGGGTGAAACTGGTAGGTTTTTGCCTGTTTGGGGATTTTATATCCAGTTTCCTTCGTTTTAACATTGCTATTGCTTTGTATGTCGGGGGCGGGAGATTCATGTGATTGGTTATTTGTCGCATTGCTCGCAAAAAATCCCCAAGCTTTCAGACACGCCCAGCTCCAAGATTTTCAAGATTTTTTGTGGACGGGCCGTTACAGTATCTTCTTGATTTTTTATATTCTATATTTCTATCATTGACCTTCTATTTTCCCCCTATGAAAATACTCTTAATATTTTTTTCATCAAATAACATTATTCAACAAAAATAACATTATTCAACAAAAATAATTCAATGACGTGCTTTAACCACTAGGCGGTGCACACAAGGTACACACAGCATACTAATAATAACTTTGTATTAGTAGTGTAGGACACTTATGCATGTATAACATCTGAAGATTTGTGGTTTTATTCATGTCTTTACATAATTTTACAGGATATTGCTATACTATTTGTCATGTTTTACTTCTACACATTAATATCTGATTTGTAAAACATCACAGACAGAAAGGTATATCCGATTTTTAATGGTAAGCTATTGAAATTGTGATTCCATAGATGTGTCTCCCATCACCCAAATCCCCTGACTATTCTCTCAACTCAGTATGTACATTCTTATATTCAAAGAAAATCAGTAATATCTTTAAAAACGTGCATTGCGGCTAAAACATCCAATCAGCGAGCTGAGGATCTTTCCTACGTCTGTTTCCGGTATTGTTCCTGTAATGAGAGTTCACATTTATGCTACATTGAAGGGTGGAATTAACTACACATCTTCAGAAACATAATTTGCTTCAGATATAACTCATAGCAAATAAAGTATATAAATATAAGTAATAAAAAGATGAAACACTGGCATGTAATTTACGTCAGAATAAATAGAATGGTTTTGAATAATAGATGAGAGTAAAATCACGTTACAGCCCCGCCCACTTTTGGGGAAACCAACGCTGTCATTTGAATGGCGATCAAGCCTGAAGCCACAGAGATCTTCTTTTACTGTCTTTTCTTCTTAGAGGAAGTACAGAAACACGTAACTCTGGGTTTGTTTGAATGTTTGAGGTGCAATAAACGACACAGCAGCTTTTTGGCATGTTAAAACTATTATTTTCTGCCTCGCTCATGAGAGTAACAGCTGGCAAAATTACAGCCTAGCCTACTGATTTTAATTTAACCATATATCAAGCCCGATTCTCGATTTCAAATGTGTGCTCTAAAATGATATTTATAAATGACTATTATCATTATTATAAGCAAGACAATACATCGCAAAGAAGAAAATAAGCGTATTTAAGAAATGTTCATAACAAACGTAACCTGGGAGAAAATACGTTTCTAGAGACAGGAGACAGGGTTGGACTTTTTTTGTATGAATTTATGTTTCATCCAATCACAGAGCTTTTTATCTTATCACGAGGTTTGTCAAAGCGTTCAGGCGTGGTCACAACAATAGCTGGGGATTGTGGGTAGTGTTGTCTCTTTGGCGGTCCACATTTCAGAGAAAACAAGTTGTTTCTCAGAATTGAAGGGGAAAAGGACAAAAGCATTGTACACAATTTAAACCTATCAATGTCGTTTAATCAACAAAGGTAATCTGGTGTTTTTTAGTCGATGAGTAGTGCAGATATCACTGTCCAATCAATCGACAGTAAGGAGAATACTTACTTCCGGGTGTACAATTCTCCGTTAACCAATGGGAATGGACGCTCACATTGCCTACATAAATGGATGCGGTGGTTCCCTGAGCGTCAAATATCGCCGCCGATGGGAATACATTGCAATCAGTTGAAAGCTTTTCGCGTCCGTTTATGAAGCTGAGTGTGTTGCTTAAACGTGCAGATTTGAAACAACATTAAGTGTGTCCACATAGCTGCTTGGCTAAATCTATAAGAACAAATCAAATAATAGTGCATGATTGTAAAATGTTACTTGGTCTTATATTGTAAATGTGGTGAAACATATGAACAGACTGTTTTGTATATACATAAATTAATTTCTTCAGGGACTCAGACTCCATGAATATCTTTTTTTCCATATCAATTTCCTTCTCATTATCTCTGTGTAATACACAGACCATATGCAGTGGCACTCCACAATACAACAATTACTTGAATCAAGGAGAGGAGGGGTTATTTATGCATTTTTCCTATTGTAATTATGAGTAATGAAAAGTAGAGAAAACACATTAAAGGGTTATAACAACTTAGTTAAGATGAATATACTGCAACTAGCCTCTCACACACGTGAATAATGATCAATAATAGCATGTAGTTAACATACAAATATTACAATTGTGCCTCCCTTTGGTTCTAGTGAGAAACACAAAGACTAGAAGGCAGTTTTCCATTAATGTTGCTCATGTAAAACAAATTGAAATTGATTTTAGTGTATTAGGAATGAATGATACAACTGTCTGCGGGAATGTAAAGACCGTTGGATGAAGCCAAGTTTGGCCATCCAGTCAGGTGTGAGGTTTTGTTATGGAATATTGCATACAATTGTGTCTGAATGGTAAAGATATGATAGGAAAAGGGTACTAATAAGACAAAGGTAGAAAATATACTCCGTCAGTTAACACTCAGACCAGAAATCATCCATGTCTTACAGCATATACATGCACTTGCCCCACTTTATCTAATTTCCATTGCATGCATAACACCCCTATATGTATTGACAGCTTATAGGTATGTGCGTCATTAAAAATTCCTTCTTAGCTGGCTTATTCAGAGAATCCTCATGTGATTTCTCACACATTATTTGATATACAAAATACATGAAGGATATTAATGTAGAAAATCCTCAAGGATGATTGATAGATCTGAGAAATATTTGCCTCCGTGGTCCAAAAGTCATGGTGGAATTGTATTTTAACTGTATTAATATGTCCTTCACATAGTAACATAACACACACAATGATGGATGCGCAAGTGTGATGTTATTAATGTTTTGATTAAACTATAAGATGGAGTAAAGTGTGAACAGTTTATCTTAGCTGATCATTATCTAAAAATGTGTCTCTTTTTTTCTTCTCGTTTTTGCAGGTCCCTTTCTGTGAACTAACATGGACAAAGTGGTCATCAGTCTCCTGCTTCTGGGAACCGCAGTAACGATGGTCCATGCATGTCCAAAATACTGTGTCTGCCAGAACCTCTCAGAGTCTCTAGGGACTCTGTGCCCCTCCAAAGGCTTGCTCTTTGTCCCGCCAGACATTGACCGGCGAACTGTGGAGCTCCGGCTGGGCGGCAACTTCATCCTCAAGGTCACCACCCTGGACTTTGTCAACATGACGGGTCTTGTTGATCTCACCTTGTCCCGTAACACCATCAGCACCATCCAGCCTTTCTCTTTCATCGACCTGGAGACCCTAAGATCCCTTCACCTTGACAGTAACAGGTTGACTGAGCTGGGACCCGACGACCTCCGAGGACTGGCCAACCTGCAACACCTGATCATCAACAACAACCAGCTGAATCAGATCGCTGACACAGCCTTTGACGACTCGTTATCGACAATGGAAGATCTGGATTTGTCATATAACAACTTGCGCAATGTGCCTTGGGAAGCCATCCGCAAGATGGTTAACCTCCATCAGATAAGTCTGGATCATAACCTCATATTGTACATTTCTGAGGGGACTTTTACAGATCTGGATAAACTGGCCCGCTTGGACCTCACCTCCAACCGTCTCCAGAAGCTCCCTCCAGACCCCATCTTTGGGCGCTCACAAAGCAATGTAGTGATGAGCACTCCTTATGCACCTCCGCTCTCTCTAAGCTTTGGAGGAAATCCATTGCACTGCAACTGTGAAGTGCTTTGGCTTCGAAGGCTAGAGCGGGACGATGATATGGAAACTTGTGCATCTCCTAATAGTCTAAAGGGGCGCTACTTTTGGTCTGTTCGTGAGGAGGAGTTTGTTTGCGAGCCCCCTCTGATCACGCAACACACACATAAATTACTAGTGCTTGAAGGCCAAACGGCTAGCCTGCGCTGCAAAGCAGTCGGGGATCCGATGCCAACTGTGCATTGGGTTGCTCCTGATGATCGTTTGATCAGCAACTCCTCCCGAGCAACAGTATACGAAAATGGCACCCTGGACCTTTTAATCACCACATCTAATGATTACGGGATTTTTACCTGCATAGCTGCCAATGCTGCAGGGGAATCTACGGCCTCCATTGAACTGTCAATCATTCAACTCCCCCATCTGAGTAATGGTACCAACCGTACCACACAGTCCAAGTCAGGGCTTTCAGATATAACCAGTTCTACCAAGATCAGTAAAGGGGAGCCTAAACCTCTACCAGAGAAGGTGGTTTCTGCATCAGAAGTGACTGCCATCTCTGCACTGGTCAAGTGGACTGTTAGCAAATCAACTCCAAAGGTCAAAATGTATCAGCTTCAGTACAATTGTTCTGAGGATGAAGTCCTTATTTACAGGTAAGAATGCTTTGTGAAACTCCATTACTTGAGCCGAGGCATTTCTGGTCAGGGTGGTTAATTAAGCCTGAGGTATAATCTTTAACTTCAATCATTTTCTTTTAAGCCTCTTCAGTCAATTGCTAATTGTTGCTGAGTACTTAAGTCAATGTGTGTTACTTCAAGATATACACAAATGTTTCCTCTTGAATGAAGAAATTGCACACCTCGGATGTTATTGTCAATATTAATATGAATATAATAATGATTTATTTTTTAATAGTCACACTCCATTTCGCCGATGCCCCAGCTGGTCGACACCTCTTTTAGCAGAAACAAAGGCTACATTAATGTATTAAATCGATGTTAATCCATGCGTGTGGATGTGGAATAAACGGACGTGACGTCGTGCGATTGCGTTGCCAGGCAACAGCTTCGGTTCATGTTAATTTACAAACTCTTCAACTACAACCGTAGTTATATTTAAAAACATGTTAGAAGGCCTCACGAAATACTTTAATGTAAATTAAAAATTTAAATGTGAAGGAATGTGTGTATAACAAAATACATCCGTCATAAACGACACCGGAAACAGACGTAGGCAAGATCCTCAGCTCGATGATTGGATGGTTTAGCCGCAATGCACGCTGGGATATGGTGTTTATGCGATGTGAAATCCGTAAAAACGTTTTTTTAAAATAAAATAATACTTTATGCCGAGTGTGCTTGCTTTTCTCTTTGAAAGTCATCATATAACGGCATTGTAATACACGGTTCGGCTGCATTAAATATTACATATCTGCCGTAGTTCTCTATTTATAGAGCCCTGCTGAGAAGACTTCTAGACAAACAGGAAGAACTGATGCCAAAACTGAAAACGTGACGTGGATCATAAATATATAAGCAATTAAACAACATCTTACATTTATTTTCACACAATACGTCTCCTCGCACTATCAACACTAATTCGGCTGACTTTTATATTTGATCCAATTGGTAGATTTCTATTTACTTGTATCTATACTTGTTATTATTAGATATTAATAGGAGGATGTGCAAAACAGACAAACTTAATTTAAACATTAAAGAGTACTTTAGGTTAAGGTCTTCTTTTGAATAAGAAAAAAGCTTTGGGGGTATAGAAGAAGAATAT